GAGGTGAGAAGGGCTCTGGGGGTCCTGCTCCTGCCTCACCCCTCGCTGCTGCTGCTCCTGCTCCAGGTTCCGCTGCAGGACCTGCTGCTGGTTGGCAATGACGCGCCGGATGCCATTGACGAAGTTGCTCTGGTCATGGGGGATGAGGCCGATGAAGATCTTCTTCTCCGAAGAGTAGAGGAGCATGAGCACGCGGATCTCACACGAGGCCTTGTAGGAAAAGTGCACGCAGCCGGCCTGGCAGGCGCGGGGCACGGTGTCACGGGCAGCCCTGGGCACAGACGCTCCTCCCCATTTCGATGGCCTCAAACCACACAGGCCAGCATCCCTCAGACAGCCTGTGCAAGCCGGGTGCGTCTAACTGCTCTGTCCTCACGGCCTTGTTATGACTCCCATTTGGGGACATGGAGACAGGAGCCCAGAGATGACTGTCCAAGGCCCAGCGGGTTCTGCACAGAAGAGCCCAGGACACTGCAGCACCAACACCAGAGGAGCAAGTACACAGAATGCCCTGGAAATGGGCCTGGGGCACAGCATGCAGCGTCAGGGTGACCAAACCATGCAGAGGCCACACTGGGAAAGATACCGGACACTAAAGCTCCGCTACCTCATGCACCCCCCTGAGGCTGGGAGGCTGTGGAGCCCACAGTACTAACTGCTCCCCTCTGCCCACCCAGACCAGTCAGGGACAAGGCTTTATGTAAGAAGGACCCTGACACAACAGGCACAGTGGACCATGTGTTCCCCATCCATTTCCCTGGCTCCTCCTTCTCCAAGGCCGGGAACCATCATCTCCATGTTTCAGGTCAGCCAACAAGGCTGAGAGCTTGAGGACTCACAGGCCCCCAGAGCTCAGAGGGACGGCGCTGGCCCTGCGTGGCCCACCTCTGGGATAGTGGTGACAGGTCTCCAAGAGAAAGCCCTCGGGCACGCCCCCTTGCCGCACCTGAGCCAACAGTCAGTAGTCTGACATAGACACACCAGTGAGATTTAAAGAAAAAGTGAGGTACCATGGACAGGTGTTACCCCTACGTAACAGACACCAAGAAAGTGGACCAGGACAGCCATGGTCTCAGAAGAGCTGCTGGAGACTGAGGCCGGCCCCACTGGAAGATCACTGCTGCTAGAAGTGGACACACCTCCCACTGGCCTGGCCAGGGGCCTTCAGGAGCCTCGGGTTTTCTACTGGGAAACCTGCAGTAACAATGGTGCTCTGTCCCCAGGGAGAGCAGGAGGAAGATGGCAGGTGAGGACCTGGGAGCACAGGGGCTGCTCAGTGATGTCACCCTGGCACTGAGTAAACCCAGACACAGCAGCAGGGGACAGGCCAGAGCTGGCCTTCAAGGCCCAAGTCCCTGCCCCAGCCCTTGTTGACACTGCCTCTGAGCCTCAGTTTTCCCATCTGTAAAATGGGGTCAGGACAGCTCAGAGCCCCAGGAAAGTTATGTGGACTAGGATCCAGTGTGTGTGCAGGCACACAGCAAAGGTGACATCGCTGTGGGCTACTGTCACCCCAGCCGGTTCTGCAGACAGCATCTCTCTGCTTAACCTCGTTTTCACTTAAACACCCAGGGATCTGCCTGTTTATACCCTGCTGGGCCTTTCCCTCTGCTCCCCTCCTCCCTGGCCATTTGGCGGCGAGGCCCAGCCCCACTCACAAAGCCATTGTCCATGATCCGGCATAAGCTCTTCAGCGTCTCCAGGTCCTTGGTGAAGTGGAACTGCACCAGGCGTGAGTTCCGGAACAATGGCACCAGGGTGGTCTGTGGGCAGCCGAGGGGCGGCTCCATGAGGCCTAGGAGCTGGAATAGGCCACAGCCCTGCTGCCCTGCCCCTCATCCCCACCAAGGCGGCTGGCACTGAGTCCAGGCTGCCAAGCCCCACTGCTGGGCAGGCCAGCCTCCAGCCCTGGGGCCTTTCACAGGCTGCCCCCCCCCCCC